TAATAGGGAACCCAAAGAGAAAAGGCAGGAGAAAAAACAAATGATTTTGGATGAGATAAAAAAAAAAAAGGAAGAAGAATTTTAAAATCTCCAGGGATCACAACTATTACTCATCAAATTAAGCTTTTGCAGAGGCAATTATCTATGTTAACAGTGAGAGAAATGGAAATAAAGATGAATTATGCAAAATTGAATTTGCAAATAAACCAGGGAAATGATTGGCATATAAATTGCAAAAAGAAAAAGGAAAGAAAGTGATATTAAAGTTACAAGAAGGAAATACTGTAATAACAAATATGCAAAAAGGTTTCATCAGTATTATTCTACTTCATATAAAGATCAAGAAATTTTCTCAGAAAAACTGGATGAATATTTATAAACAGAATTTACCAAAGATTACAGAGAATCAGAGACAAATTTTGAATGGACCTATAACAATAAGGAAAGTGTGTGAAGCTGTTAAAAAGACTAAAACAGGATGGCCCAAATGGTCTGCCAGCATCTTATTATAAATGTTTGGAGGATGAGCTTTTATAACCTTTACAGCAAACAATGAATAATGTTACAGAATGGAAAGATTCCTAATAGCTGAAAAGAGGCTAATATAGCATTAATACCTAAAGAGGCCCAAGACTTAACTTTAACAAGAAATTATCTTCTAGTATCTTGAATGATGACTATAAATTGTTTACCACAATTTTGGCTGAAAAGTTGAAAATAATTCTACAGGACTTTATTTATGAAGATCAATGTGGGTTTTTACCTTAAAGACAATTACAAGATAATATTAGAAATGTTTTTAATATTCTGGTGTATTTGGAGCAACATAAGGAAAAACAAACTGCATTGATATTCTTACATGGAGAGAAGGCCTTTGACAATGTGAATTGGATTTTCTTGTTTAGAGTTCTGGAACATATGAAACTTGGAGATAATTTTATTAAATTGTTAAGATTGATTTATACTTCACAGAAAGCACAAATAACTGTTAATGGAGAACTAACAAGATTTTGGGAGATTCAAAAAGGGACAAGACAAGGATGCCCACTGTCTTCATTCTTGTTCATTTTAGTTCTTGAGGTACTGAATAGAGATATAAGACAAGATGAGGGAATCATGTCTTTTAAAATTAAATAAAGAAACTTATACACTCATTTGCGGATGAGCTGGTGTTAGTTTTGGAAGATCCCTAGAGGGAGTAGAAAAATGGAAAAATTAAAGGACTTTGGTATGCTAGGCAGGTTTTAAGATTAACAATCAGAAGATGAAGATGTTAACAAAAAATATGAAATCAGAAGATCAAATAGAACTGATGGAGAAAACTGGTTTTAAGATCGAGAACAAAATAAAATACTTAGGTATTACTATGACAAATATGAATTGAATGTTATTTCAAAATAACTATGTTAAGACATGGAATGAAATTAAGGACATGTTAAAATGGGAGAAATTAAAATTGTCACTGTTAGGGAGAATTTCTGTGATAAAAATGAATGTTTTGTCTAGGATGATGTTTTTGTTTCAGACAATACCTGTTCTGACTACTGATGTACCACTCAAACAATGGCAAAAAGATATATCTAAATTTGTATGGCAAGGGAAAAAACATGAGTTAAATATAAAGTGTTACAAGATGCAAAGGGAAGAGGATGACTGGGTTTACTGGATTTGAAATTGTATTCTGCAGCTTGTTGTTTGGACTGGATGAAAGAATGGATGTTGCTGAGAAACAAGAGACTTTTAGAGTTAGAAGATCATAACCTGAGGTTTGGATGGCATGGATACTTATGGTACAATAAAGTTAAAATTAATGTGGATTTTAGAAATAATTAAATGTGCCATATTGAGAATATGGAATAGATATAAACCCAGGTTGTGCCTGAAAACACCTCTGTGGATATCAACATAAGAAGCATTCCATAGAAGATAAACAACAGGCAAAGACAAATCATTAATGTACCAGGAGTTATTGGAAAGTCATCAAGGGGAGTATAAATCAAGAGGGTAAATAATAGCAGAAGGATATAGCTGTCAATGGTTTTCCCATTTACAGTTATCAGAAAGATTCAAAATAGATAAAAAGACATGGTATAAAGAGTGAGACAGAATCTGAAGTACAATTGTGCACTGATGATGAACATGTAATTGCTAAAATGTATAAACTTTTGTTGAAATTTGAAACAGAGGAAGAACAGGTTAAAGAATGTATGATAAAGTGGGCTAAGAATTTTGGTTATATTATACAGATAGATCAGTTGGAAAATATGTGATTAAAAGGGTTGAAATTTGCCTTATGTTATGATCTTAAAGAGAATTTTTATAAAATGATGTATCATTGGTACATAATGCCAGAGAAATTATCTAGAATGTATAAAGACATTTCAAATGTATGTTGGAAATGTGAACAACATGAAGGGACATTTTATCATGTCTGGTAAAATGTAAAAAAGCTAAAAAAAAATGGATTCAAATACATATATTGATACAGAGGATTTTAAAGATTAATATTCAGTTGAAGCCAGAACTTTTCCTTTTAGGATGATGGATAAACAGTTAAAAAAAAAAGCTATGGAAGATTATTTCAATATGTGATTACTATATGTACAAAAATGGAAAGATTGGACATTACCCACCATGGAGGGTAAAGGTTGGTGAAATTGACAGAACTTGCTGAAATGGACAAACTGACTTCTTTGTTAGAGAAAGGACAATATCTACATTTATTGGTGACTAGAAACCCCTTATGGACTTTTTGCATGAAAACAAAAAAAACCAAACTTGTGATTTATGGTTTTGATGATTAGACAGGATAGATTATAGAAAGTAGAGAGTTAGAGAAAGGACAATATCTACATTTATTGGTGACTAGAAACCCCTTATGGACTTTTTGCATGAAAACAAAAAAAACCAAACTTGTGATTTATGGTTTTGATGATTAGACAGGATAGATTATAGAAAGTAGAGAGTCATGATGTAACTTTAGAAAGAGAGAGGTTAAAATGTAATTGTACTTATAACTGCTGTGAAGAATATCGGAAGCTATTTCATTATATCTTTATATCTTACTTTATATCTACCTCTTTTTTTCTATTTTTTAAAATTTTCTTCTCTTATTGCACTTTTAGCTTTTTCTATTATTTCTTTCTTTTTCTCTGTTCTAATTTAGTTTATATTAGTTCTTATTATTAATTTTAAAACTTCTAATAAAAATTATTTTTTAAAAAAGGAGAAATGCCTGTGTCTTCATGCATTAACATATTTAGATTTAAGTCTTTCTTTGTAAAATATTGTAGAATTTTTCAAGGTGGCAAGCAGTATAACTAGCCCCAAATATATCATCTGTTTGATTGGTCTAATGTAGATAGCACTTTGTGCTAATATGATACATCTGAAAGATCTCAAGCCTAATGAGACATTTTTATATTATTAATTCCAGATCAACTCATTCACACGAACAAAATATCTCAGTTTATCCTGGAATGAAGCCATTTCAATGCCATTCAAAGCATAGCCAAATCAGCTGTGTCTACTCTGTAAGTATATGTATTTTGCTTTTGTTTTCTTTTCTTTTTAATATTTCTGCTTATCTGTGCTTGCTAGGTTTTTTTTTTGAATTGTAAGGCATGGTAATAAAGAATATCAAATCTCCTTACTGAATCATCTCTATGACATAAAAAAAAATCTGTGGCACAAGAGGGGGAAAATGAAATGAAATCTACACATAGATGAATTAAAGTCTCTTTAGGTAACTAAGATCTGTATTAGGATTATTGACAAAGCAAAAGATAAAAATGAAAAAAAAAACCCAAACAAACGCTGAAGAGAAGCTAGAATAGAATCAGGATTGTAATGTAAACTGAAAAGTTCCTGGACCACTTATGCTATATACTAAGAGGAAGCAAGGTAGAAAGCTGGCTGCCATATGTAGAGAACAAGGAAGATGACCCTGACAGGCCAGGTCCATTACCAAAGCGACAAGGGGAAAAACATGGCTTAAATCCAAAACAAGAAGAAGGCACGGACAAAAGATGCAGGCAGATACCTTCCAAATTCACAAGTATAAAGGGAGGAGGGAGATTAAAGCACAGTCAGACTTGCAATTTTCTGTTACTACAGCCAATGTTAATACAAGTAGTTTGACCTTTGTATGGAGTTGATTTCTTGGTTTGGTCTACGTAATAGGGCTAACACAAGCCCTGAATTAGCCTAACTAGAGGATATATCTTCTCAGAAGTGAAGAAATACAGATTTTACAAGATGCAGTGAATGTCAGTCCTTTCTCTGCTGCCACAGTTGAGTCTTATTTGTTGCTCAATCAAGGTTCAACAAGTGGTTTACTCAGTTTCTTTGACTTCCATTATTTCAGGCTAAGAGTCTTAGCTTTACTGGGTTTCTGGGTAAAATCACCTTACAGCCTAAAAGTCACTCTTACAGCCTATCAGATCCGATTCCCCTTCACTTGCAAATCATGCTGTGTCTGAACACTGTTAAGTCTTCCCAAAATGTGATACATTGCTGTGGAAAATGATAAGGAAGTTACTGAGCTGCATGGTGGCCTCAATGTGGGCTGTGTGCTTGATTTTCTCTTATTGTTATAGTATTAGCTTTAATTAAAACACATTGTTTATGGGCAAATGATATGGAAATGGCATGGTAATTGTAACAGAAGTATATGTATTCTTAATTAACTTGTTTTATAGTGAATTAATAAAATTAATTTAATGTTTTGTTAAAGTTGTAAGGAAAACCAGGATATTTTCTACTGCACACTGGATTATACACATTTACACTAATTCATATCTGAATGTTAGGGAATAATAATAATAATAATAATAACAACAACAACAACAGCGGCAGCAGCAGCAGCAGCAGCAGCAAAAGGCAGTTTTACTTGGAACAGCTTATATCCTGTGACAATATCTTTAAAACCATCAAACCATCAAACAACAACATCTGCCTATCCCAGGTCCTTGGGAAGGACCCGATAGGTGGATAAAAATGCCAAATCCAGTCTAAACATTTGGCTGAATGTGCGACCAACAACAATAATAATAAACTTTTGGTTTCAGCACATTGGTGTATTGTGTTCTAATTTATAAAATATACTACAATACATAATGCTACAATACTCTAATACAGAGATTTCTGGCAGGATCCTTATGCCTTTAAACATGACCCTATTTTTTACGGTACAACTTTTCTTAACTCCAGCAGCTACTAAAGGCCCCAGGGCTCTTTTCTTCTCCCCTAGCAAAGAAGTGGACATTCCTTTAGAGAGTGCCCTCAAAGCATGTATTAATATCTGTGTAACACCATTACTACTGGAGCTGTATTGTCCATTTTAATTGAGCTATGCAGAGTCATAGCACACTGTTCTTTTAACAAGCAGGAGAAACTCATTCTGTCCATCATGACACCTGCAATTTTTTCTAAACCCCCACGGTCTTTGGAGTGGTGGGATTCTGGGCACGTAACACTTTTAGTTTTAAACAGACCTCATTATAGATCTAAATTGCTTTATGGAACCATGGCTTTTTTAATTCTTGTTTTTTTCTTTTTCTCTCTGTGTGAATGACATTTTGGATAAGATGTGCTTTTCATTAAAAAAAATTGTGAACAATTGCAGCAGGGAATGCATATGCCTATGCTAGTTTAAATAAGAAATTAAAAGCAACCAGCTTTTCACAGACATTGCTTCTCATTTGTCATTTTGAAAACTTTAATACTAATAGGCAAATCCCATGTGTTTTATTGAGGTTTCATTAGATACCAAGAGACAATAATGTCAAATAATATAGAGTTAGGCAACCTGGCACCCTCTAGATATTCTAGACTACAAATCCCATGAATGTTGGCCAGCTTGGTGTAATGGAAAGCTTGAGCGAGGAAGATACTGGAATGGAGGATCAAGGTTATCAGGAGGGAGGGGGAACATTCCAGAGCAAGCACTTTCTCAGGCCACAGCAGGAGTGTGGGAAGAGCAAGAGGATGAGGCTAGCCCCTCCCTAGAGTCTCACGGGGTATATCCACTAGTTGCTTTAGCATAGGTTTAGTCTAGTGAGATTCTGTCTATAGGGTGCAAGCTAATAAAGGAACTGTACTGGACTGGATTGCCTCACTGTTGTTCTTGGGCTGAACCTGACACTTGGCCAGTAGAAAGCCACTGGTATCCAAAAAACATGGAAGGTCCCAGGTTGACTATCCAATTTTTAAAGTCTTCAGTTTTAAAATGCATTTGCACAATGCTGACATTACCAGTTACTTATAAACTAATGAGGTATTTGCTCTTCTTCCCACCCTGACAGGACACTTTGGATTATCTCAGTTACTTTTTATTCAACACTGGGTTTTCATATTTTAGAGATCTGCTGCATTTAAGTAATGTACCAATGAATAAAAAAGAAATCCAATATTGTAAGAATTATAGAAACATAAGAATTAGAAGGGAGTTAAGAGGTCATCAAGTCCAATCCCCTGCACACTGCAAGATTCACTACACCATCCCCAGTAGATGATTATCCAGCCTCTGGTTGAAAAACTCAAGTGAAGGGCAAGAAACCATTCCATCTGGTAACCTATTACACTGATTGTCAGCTTTTACTGTCAAGAAGTTCTTCTTATGGAGCAACCCAGATTATTGATTTGAGATTCCGAATTTAAGAAAATAATTTTGTTATATTTATACAATTTGCCATGCTTGGATATGTCAACCACACTAGTAGACCAGACTAGGACAGATAATTACACATTTGACTTCTAAACAATTTAATAGTGATATTAAAGGGGAAGTTAAGCTGTTGTCAACTCATTTACCCTTTTTAAAGTACTGTATAACACTTTTTTTCTTTTCTTTTATAGCTATGATCTACATTGCTTCATGTACTTCATAAGGAAAATCAAGGGCTACAAAACTGTTGATTCAGTAAACAAGAGTCATGTTCTTTGATAATCCAACAAGATCAAGAAGACCTAAGTTTAAATCACTTATGAGCCAAAAATCTCCCTGGAGGAACATCTTTTAGCCTAGGGAACATTTCTCACCAAATGAAACAGGAGATGGTGGGAACCATATGAAAGGTGAGATATAAATGAATACATACAGTATGAGTGTACATATGCATTCATGTGGTCTGAGACTGGATGGTTTCCCCCATGATCGCCTTCTAGGAGGTCAATTTTTCAGATAGTAACTGTAATGAATATTTTGTCTAATTAATTGAAGGACTGAACAATGTTGGCCCTGGGTGTTCAGAACTTCTGTACCCAATGTCCAGGACAGAGTTCATTTGGGAAAAAAATAATAGATGCTAAAACTTATTTTACATAACAGAAGAGATTATGGATTTTGACATTAGCTTCAAATGCTATGATATGTGCTGTCTCTACCTTTTAATGGGGGAGATGCTATTTACAGTCATAGCATATAATTCTACAGGTTACTGCAAAGTAGCTCAGATTAGTTACAAGCATATGCTCAGATTTTCTCATTTAACACACACACACACACACACAAACATGCACATATATACAGTGAATTTCAGAATACCAGCTTGATTCAGTGTTCACAAAGACTTTCCTAGCCATATATAAATTATTCTGAGGAAAGAAAGTGCTTAAAAGTTTATTTCATTCTTTCCTGCAGCCTGCGTGAGATTTTTCAATCTGGACATCAATAAATACTAATGATGCATGCAGAAAAAGGAAGTACACCACACATATCCCTGAAGTTAGGAAAAGATAAAAGCATTTAAGGAAAAAGAAAGAGAGAGAGAGAGAGAAAGAGAGAAAATTCATACAGTATTTACACTAGGAAGCTTTCTGCTCTTGCTCTTTTTAATGGAAGTTCCATTCAACAGAACTTTTAACAGAACTGTAAAAAAGTTAATTATTCAGACCCTTCCTCTTGATAATGGCCATACTGTGCTGATAAAAAGCCAGGACTGATATGCATCTCCTCATAATGGATATGCTCACACTATTTTCTTCTTACACAGCTAAGCACAAATTTAAAATACATTCGCATACATACACACATATGCACACATTGTTTGTATATATTGTCATGTGCTGTGACTTTATTCAACTTTATTAAAAAAAAATATCTAGGCAACTGGAAACATTGACAGCAAAGGCTATATCATCTCCAAACCTGCCATCCTGACCAAAAGAGTTATGAACTAATTTAAACATCATAAATCAAGTAATTAAAGCTTCAAACTAAAAAAGAAATTATGTTACATAAAAGCTCCTGTCACTAGTAGGTAATTTTCATGCTTGAAATGAAATTCCTAATGTTACTTTAATGCTGAATTTTGAACATCAGTGTAACTTAAATGTGTATCTTAATCAGAGTGGCTTATCTGCCCTCTATACAGCAAATGTCTAGCTTCTAGTTTTAAAACATTTTTTTCTTTCTGTTAATTTGCATTATGATAATTTTATATCCTTAAGTGAGGGATGGAGAAGCTGATGAAATTATACATTTTTATGTCTGTCATGGATTTTACAGCTTCTATTAAATAATGTACCCTTCTTATACATTTATTCCTTTTAAATTCTTCAACTATTGAAAAATATTAATGTTCAGCTGTCAGAAATGAAAGCTAGAACTGAATAACATTTTTTTCCCAATGAATGTTCAGTTATTTAGACTTCAACCATATTAGCTGTGGAACCTAAAATTTTAAAGGAGTCAGTAAGCTTTATCTTCAAACCATCTTTTTGACAATAAACATGATTTAGCTTAGTCCTAATGCATCTTTTTCCATGTTGAAAATATAATCTACACTGAATTGCACAGGCTTTTCCATTAAATGTACTGCAGCCTGCTAATACATTATGCCTTCTCAAAACTGTAAAATATGATAAAAGAAGAATAATGCCGGTTATTAATGAAGATTATGATACGTGGATACAGCCATAGAAGACTTTGTGTATAACTTAACTCAAAGATCTGGTTCAACATTATAACCTCTCAGTGTGAACCATAGCTACCAAAATCTCCATGCACTGGTTTCAGTTGTCATACTCAAGCACACAGAGTTGGAAAACCCCTTTTCAATCCCCTTTAGTACTACATAATGAGCAAAGTAGGTACCTTATTTATTTGATTTATGTGGCCACCCATCTCATTTATGTGACTCTGGGCTGCTTACAATAAAATAGATAAAAACACACATAATACAAAAACAAACAAACAAACAAACAAATAAATAAAAAATACAGCAGCTGAGAATCATTAAAAAAAACCTCATTAACACAACCAGGAGACAGGCTCTGTCTCACATCTGGGGCCCCAGGCTCTAGCACAAACCAAGCTTTTAAGGCCAACAGGGATGGGGCCAATCTAATCTCAGGGGGGATGAAGTTTCAAAGGTGGGTGCCATGGCAGACAAAGCTTTCTTTCTGAGCCCCACCAGCCGACACTCCTTAGCTGATGGCACTCAGAGCATAACCATCATCACTGCTCCTCATTTTAATGGTAGCCATCAAAGAAGACAGGGAGCTTTTTGATGCTTTGGGGATCTTTGCTTCCTTTTTTTCCAGCTTGATTGCTTTACCCTGCTCTTAACTGCAGAAATGAACAGGTGAGCTAAAAAAAAAAAGTAAACAGAAAAGCCCAGCAGACTATTTCCTTCCACTCTGGTTGACAAAATAAAACAGAAGGATGCCAGGAAGGTGCAGCTTCTGTCCTTCCAATGTGTAGAGTCATGTACTATTGTCTTTTGCAAGGAGTTTGCAGAAGCAGAACACTGCAGAAAGACTCTTAGGGTAGCTAGTAGGAGAGATGCATATGCCATTTTTGCCCAAATTTTTCTTCTAATTTTGTGTTACCTAATTACTTGGCTTGTTTGCAGAGCTACACCAATAAGCAGCCACTTATTATTCTTCTGTGTTTTTTTTCAATATTTCTGGCCTTCTGCATGTAATCTGTGGCAACTTTCCTTTATGCACATTAGTAGTTTTTGTGCAAGGGTTGCACAAAAAATGAAAATGTGACAAACGGCATGTCTCTCTGTAGCAGGTTCATTTTTTGAACCAGTAATAACCAGATTGGCCCAGACAAAACAGACACAAAATCTGGACAACTAATTGGGTTTTTGTATCTCCCCACAGTGACTGGGGGTGGGGGTAGACTTTTACTTTACAAAAGGAAAGCTTACAGATTTCAATCTGCCTTTTATCGTTTTTAGTTTATGCTTTCTATTTCTGTGCTGTCACAATCTTTACTTTTTCTTTGCCTTTTCTGCTTGTTTGTTCCTGGCTGGGCTTCTTGATTCTTCTCTTCTTCCAAATCTTGGTTCCCTCTGAGGGAAATGGCATGAATAACTTTTCCCTCATGCCAGTTCTGAGGGAAGGAAAGAAATACTTTTCTCTCTCTCTCCAGTTTTCTCAGCTGCTGTCTCCTTTCCTGTTACCTCTTTCTCATCAGGCTTGTTATCTTTTGGTTTGCCTCTTTAATTGGCTCCTGGGCTTTTGCTCTGTTGATTCAGCCTCTTCTTCATGAAGCCTGTGGTGGCAGAGGTCCCAGGCAGCCATCTTGTCTTCCCTCCTCCTTGCCTCCTGCCAACGCTGCTGTTTGATTGGTCACTGCTGTTTGATTGGCAGCTGGGCTGTCCTGACGATGGGAGAGGGCCAAGGTGGGAGGGGGAGGAAGGAAGGAGCACAGGGGCTTTTAATCTCTTCAGGCGGTCTGTCCTTCTACATGATTGATTACTAAATCTATTTCACAGTAAGTTATAGCCCACAGAATAGAGCAGACGATATGTCATGAGATAGCACTTGAATTAGGGATTGGCACTGTTCTTCTTTTACCTTGACACCGCTTTGAATGTTCAACTGGAACCCTGAAAAATCCTTGAGGAGCATCCCTTGCAATCTCTACTTTTTCCCCCTTCCTTCTCTTTGGCAATAAACAGAACAGATACTTAACAAATCTATCCTCAGGGAACGAGCCTAAAATACTGTTTGCTCAATCCTGGGGAGGGGAGAGCAGGGAAACACACTCCAAAAAGTGGGTGGACTCAGCACAAAGGGATGGGTGCAGTCTGAATGAAATTAAAATTTAATGAACTATATTCAATATGATTATATGGATAACTCATCTTTGTCTACCCTCTGATAATTTTGAAAGGGGTTTTGGGGACCATATCCAAAGTTTGGGGTGGGACACATATGGGCCTTGTGTTTCAGGCTGTGCTTCTCTGCTTTCAATGGACTTAAGCCATTTTCTCTAAACTGTTATATCTGAAATATGGGAGTAATGGTACTGACCAACCATTACTGGTCAATTAGTAAGGCTCTGATGGTTAGATAATTCCAGCTTTTCATGTCCTAATGGACATCATTTAATCAGGATTGTTGATCAATAATTGCATCTTTGAGTTCTTGTAAGATAAGGGTTACAAAGCTTAAAAGAGTGAACATTAAAAGCAGCAGGTACAATTATTCTTATAATATTAGAGTCCACCTTGAAATAAACAAGGTACTGTGGAGAAAGAGGAACTGATTCTAGCATTTTGTTGGAGAAAGTACATATTGTACCTCAATATACAATACAGGGCAGGGCAGTTACACAAAAGTGAAGCACTTGATTTAAGAAGTATAGAATATAGACACACATCGAGCTCTACAATTGGTAATCAGCTGTATGCTAAACATAAGGATGTCTGCTTATACATTGCTGCAAATATGTTGTTATTTCTTTAATGAAAAAGTTCTATATCAGAATATTGATTCTGGAAACATTTCAAGGAATCTTAACTAAGCTACTGCAAAATCTCAGAAAAAAAGCATTTTATTTAATTGTAAGGTAAAATAATTATTCCCCCAATTTTCTTCTCTCTTAAAACAGTTTTCCTTAGGTCATATCTACTTGCTATAGTCTGCATATGTATTTGAGGTAGTCAAAAAGGTTCTGAACATAATAGCAACTGCACAGATTAAAAAAGAACCATCCATCTGCCCAATGAAAAAACTTGGAGCTGATTTTGGAATCACTAAAAGCAGTAAACAATGCTGTGTCATGAAAAGTGTGTAAAATTGTCCTATGATCTCTGCTGTTCTAGAGCATTTATGCAAACATATCCTACTTCTGCAAATATTTTTGTAGTATGGTCCCCACTCTCACGGCCTTTTGGAATCAGATGGAAACATGCCTCTTCCAGCAGCCTTTGGTGATTAATAGTTTCACAGCAATGTCATTTTTAGAATTTTATGATTTTTAGCTTTGTATTTTCAGTTACTATTTAAATTTTTTTATGATGTGCATTCTGCTTTTAATACTTAAACTCTGTAAACTGCCTAAAGTCGGCTGGCTTCAGGAGGTCAGATAAAATATATAAATAAATAAATAAATCTTATCTCTTACATCTTTTATACATGGGACTATAACAGTTATATGAATATTATTCCTTGACCACAGACATATTCTAATGTACTTTGCTTGGGCACTTATTTACACATTTTGTACTTCATGCTAGAGTTGGTAAGTCAATATGGACACCAGCTCCTCATTGAAAAAGTATCACTACTTGAATCTGTCGATTAGAGGTAAGCAATCTGGTAACTTCCTAATAATCCAGGCCAGCAGTAGCAACTGATGAAGGGATTTTATGGGCTCCCAATTTTTTGGCAGTCACATTTAGAATTCAAGGATGGCATACATTCAGAACAGCTTCCTTGGTGGCTGTGACTGGTGAGCTTTCTCCCTATCTACCTTCTAGACTCCAAGGATGCTCTCTATCATTTTGGTTTATTTTTGTCTTTTTTTCCTGAACACTTAGCACTGAGCTCGAGGCACCCATCATTTTATTCTCTGAACAACTCTGGAATCTAAGCAGGGATCCAATATATCCTGGGAAATAAAAATTATGCTCAAGAATATCTCTGCATACTAGCTGCTCATTTTTATACATATTCATACATGCATATATCAACAGCCTTGTGAGTGCTATGGCAGATGTCACCTGGCACACTGATGCCCATGATGAGAATCCAGTTGTAGATGTTCAGTGCTGTTTAGAAATGAAGTAATGTAACTCACTTGAGCAATCTCTTCCAAGGTCATCTCCTAAACATGTTTCTAAATTAATCCAGAACCAGCCAGGTGTGTTCAACACCACCTCATTAAAAACAGAAAACATATACAAGATGAAAATGTGTGAGCGTCCTCATGCTCTATGATGCATTTGGGCAACAATACAGGCATTGTCTCAATTTTATTCTAATCTCTGAATTGAAAAAAAAATACAATACATACATGCTTTAAAAGTGTAACAGTTATCAACCATACATCTACAGTATTACATTTAATTTGGCTCTTATTTCAGTTACATTTAATGTTTGTGAAAGATCTGGAGAAAAATGGAGAAAGGGGCAATGTCTATTTCCATAGGAAAATCAGATACAACTTTAACCGTAGAATGGGAACTGAGTTCATGGCTCATTGGGTTCTTTTAAACTATTTAAGTATGGGACTAGTGTGTGTGTGTGTTGTATAATATACTATTGAAGCAATAACCCAGTGATTATTGTTTTAGTTACACCATAGGGATTTATGACTAAAAATGTTACAGTTCGACATCTAGTCATAAACATACTGCAAAGGTAAAAAATGATACAATAAAAAGTAATGGCAAATGAGATTTCGGAAGTGATGGCTAAAAATCATCGGTCACAACAGAGCTGGGATTAATACATTTCTGTGCGCAAATTGTACAGTACCTTGTTTGTTGTTCTTCATTAAATCTACCAACGTTTCCCCTCCAGTTCCAAAATCATTTGTTTCATGCTCTAGATCCATTTCGGTATCACTGCTACTGCTAGCAGAGTAAGTGCACACTCTCAGTGCCCTGTCCTGTACAAAACAACATATAATTCCTTGATTCAGAACAGAAAACATTTCACTGAAAGCAGTGGATCTGGAGTGCAGACAAAAAAGGTGAGCCATTTTGTCTCTTTCAGCCCAATTTATTTAGTTGCTTTAATTTGCTATTGATTATGTCATTAAATGTCACAAATCTCTGAACTTTTTTCCAGCACAAAGTACTAAAACTCATTCTCACACAATCCAGCTACAGAACCCATGGATCCATCTTGCTTTTATGTTATAAAAAAGCATTTGTGTTAAAAGGGTCCATGAACAGTTAGTGACAACCCGGGAATTCGGAGTGGCTCATTTCCCTGTTCTTGTATTTGGGATCTGAAGTAGTCATCCCAACAAATCTCTGAACTGACAGAAATGGAGGCACAGTTACAGGCAAGCATTGCTCACTGGGTGAGAAATATTCTGGGACTGTTTTGAGGGCAGGGTGTTTCCTACATTATAGAAACATAAAGTTGGAGGGACCTTGGATACAATCTAGTACAGTCCCTTATCCAGTGCAGGAATCCAATTCTACACTGTATTCCTATAAAACAAAGCATAATGTACTGCAGTGGGGAACCTGAATCAATACCATTCCCAAGAGGTACAGTCTTCTGTTAGCATTGTTATTTTTGTTTGGCATGAGCTTATATCTAACCACAGTACAAGACTCATTTTTCCCCACTACCATCACCTGGTGAGGTTGATTAGGCTGAGGGAGAGTGACTGGCTAAAAGTCACCTAGGGGGCTTCTGTGGCTGAAGGTGGATTAAAACCTAGCTCTTCCCACTCCTAATCTAACACCTTGACCGCTACACCACACTGACTTCAGCTCACTGTTCCAAGGATTCAGACTAATATCTAAGAAGGGCTCTAGTTTTATTCTAATTCTTTATTTGGCACAATGGTGGTAATTGTACGACTGTAATTTTTCAGTACAGCTTTTTTTAAAAAAATGTGATGCAAGGTAGACATGAAGTATCGTCCTGATGTGGGTTTCTTCTCCTTTTTCCAAAATGAAAACAGAAATGCAATGGGCTTTTCTTTTACTCTTTCTACACAGTCCAGGTTTCCAAGGGGAATCAACCCATTTTTATCTTGGAGGAGAAAAGATAACTGCTTTATACATCCTTTGCACTTCAAAAAGGAAAGCAGCTTTGGATGAAGGCAACTTTGATTACAAAAACAATTTGTGGCAAAAAATTTAAACACTTCTACTTTCACTGCCTCTTTTATCAAATTCAAGGCTACTAACACCTGCAGTAAAGAAATAACAACAGGAAATATTCCACATATTTTTCACGTTAAACTTTGGCCTTCAAACTGTATCATAATTGACCTCAGTTTCCTGGGGTAGTAAGATGCAGAATATGATCACTTTTTAAAAAGAGATGAGACTACAGTAATTAATACATACAAAAAAGGAAAATGAAATGAAGCTCTATAGTTTTGGGCATAAAAAAGGCTTAATGTCTTAAAGTGATAGATTACTTGACATCATGTCACAAATTCTTCCCCTGTAAATTAATTGTGTAACCAATAATAAAAACTATTTGTAAACATTGTAAATGAAAGGGCAAAGCACATATAATTTATTATCGCTGATGAATATGCATGATATATTACTGAATAGAAGACTGTAATTGAGTGTAAGTTTATTTTTGGTGAACCTACTGCTACACAAAATATTCAGCAATAATGCTATTTTACCAATCTTCCCTCTGTCAAAGAGCTAACGCCTAGTATGGGAATCATGAAAGAATACTGGATTTGGTCCAAGAACTGAGTCAAGATCTTTACTTGCCATGAGCCTCACTGGGCGATGGGTCTGTCATACACATGTGAATATGTGAAGCACAGCAATCTGGCTTATACTAAGTTTGACCTTAAGTCCATCTTGCTTACTGCTCCATACTAAATGGCAATAGTTCAGGATTTTAGGGAGGAACATTTTCTAGTATAACCTGGAGAAACCAGGGACTGAACCTGGGACGTTCAGAATACGATCAATCAATCCATCGACTCTAATACTGTATTATAACCAAATTCCCAGTATAACTTATTTCACAGAGTTTTTGAGGTTGAAGTGGGGTAGCAGATAACCACTTAGGGGATGGACAGGATATAAATTTGAGAAATAAATGAACTTTGAGAAATAAACTAAACTAAATTAAATACTTTCAAAATCTTTTACATTTGTACCTTGGCTTTGATAGCATTTTTGCTGCTCCAGTCTGAAAACATCTTTGCATTGCCACTTTTTTCTTCTTCTGAATGTTCTAATGAGGCAGAAGCCAAAGAACTAGATTCTTGACTATGTTTTTCCATGGGGCTTGTTATTCCTGGGCAATAAAAAGAAATGGAACATAGCATCTTTGATTCTATTTGCATGTAGGGGTCAGATTCATTCAATAACTGACTGATTACATTGTGATAACAGCAAGAGGACAGCGGCTGGCAAAATATTACATGCAGAAAATCTGCACATTCTTTTTTATCAGGGAAACATGTAGTCATCTCTGCCATGAGACATTTAGAGATAAAATGGGTGCTAAAGTAAATGCAACCAGTTGTCAACATTTCTATAACCTAAACCCTTTCCCCTTAATAAATCTGATTAAAGAAGATTGTGTGGGAATCTTGCTTTTTTATTATAAGCTGCTGCTAAGGGTTTGTAGTTCCATTTCTACAAAATGGAGGAAGAAGTAGATAAAGCTAAACTGATAGGATTCCTACAAGCCATACCACTTAATATCCCAGAATATATTTATTACATATATTTACATTATTATAAGGGCATAATTCTCATACATGCTTATTGTTATGGATGTGCAAACAGAGTACACATACGCTCCAATTATACATAAAATAAAATAAATTGGCACTGAAGTTACAATGATCTATGGGTCCAGAGCATTTTTTATGGAAAGTCTGAAGAAGGAAACTTTGTAGACTTTCTGAGAAGAAAAGAGCAAAGTACAAAATGGCAAAAGAGAATTCTCTCAGCACAAGTGTTCTTAGCCAAATAATTTACTCTTTTTTAAATGAACAACTTGTAGAACAAGAGCACAAGTAAATCACAGTGCTTTGTAAGATTCACTATATGTATGTGTATGGGAGGGAAGAGAGAGATTGGCCAGATGATAACATTTGAAAGTGAGAATGTTGACCTCCCAGTCTGCAGCATCTACTTTTTTTACATCTCTTCAAGACAATTTAATTAAGAAACAGACCGTAGAAGGCTGGTGCAGTGAATATTAGCATTAAGATCAGGACAATCTTACTGGTACTGACTTCTTATGAAGCAATTCAGTGCTTGCAGTTTCTATTCAATTTGTTATAATGACAGTGTTTAATCATGGAGTCTATTCTATAGCACGCTGCTGAATTGAGGTCACACATGTGGCTATTCAAGCATGTAGCATATAATCTATAACTAAGATTTCTCTTCTGAATCTCCTTTAGCTGTGTTATTAATTAACAATACACTTATTTTTTTTTTAAACAATCTAACTTAAAATACCTTTTCTTTAACTATGATCTGAAATGAGCAGGGGAGTTTCCAGTGAAGCATACAGTGTGTATTTGCATTCTATTATAAGCAGTACAAATCTGTATTAGGAATATTACTAAATCAATTAAATTCCAGCATGTTTAATTAGAAGATGTCTCATAAACTTCCAAGAATCTTTAATGCAGCTTATTTACTCATCTGTTCACTTTAAATATTGACACATTAGCAAAACATTATTTGGGAGTCTTGCAGTAGATTTCTAATTCTCACACGAATGTGGCAGTAGGAGAAAAGGTCATTTTGCCAACAATTGTGCATTTTAAACATGTTAAGGTAGTCTTCTACTTTATGTTTTCTCTTTTATGAAATGCTTGGGAAACATGATTCAACATTTTAAAAAATTAAAATTTAGCACATATGGTTCACGTATAATCTGATGAACCTGAAAAGGACAGCCCTTTACACTTCTCAATAAAGTAGTTAAGCTATTTCAGATGTATGAACACATCATATAACAAGAATCATCATAGGGAATTTTCACCAACTTGTATTGGCATTTACAATGAATCCATGTGGACTGAGACCCATATGGTCACATATCACATACACACACATTACATGCATGCACATAAACACTTTGAAAATAAAAACTCTGCCAACTCTGGAAATTCTTCCATTTGTTTTTGGCTGCAGCTTAAACCTGCCCTGACTTAGCTCTGACATATTATCCATGAGCTATTTAAAGACATGGTGTGGAAGAGCAGGCTGCTTGAACAACATGGCAGGCCCCTCTGCTCCCTTCTTTCCCTCCCGTCTGAGCCTTCTCCCCAGCGTCAGCATGGCCAGCAGAGTTGCCAATAAAGCTGCAACCTTGACACAGGTATGGGAGGAGATGGATGTTCTGGA